AATGCTACCATAAGAGACAGGACCAGCGTACCACTGCATGCCACCCATGCAGTTGTAATATCCAGTCCATTAATCTCCGAAAAGTCACTGCCACCGTGTGCAGGCCAAATAATGTGATCCTGAATTAATTCAGGCCAAAGGGCCTGGGAAAGGCTTTCTTCTCCCGCGATACTGTCATCAAAGGTTTTACCAGTATCCTGCTACTGGGGTGGCTTTCTCTGATCTTTTACTTCCTCTTTTGTGGTCAACATCTCCGGTTCCTCTGCCTGTGAAGAAATATTTCTTTTCCGGTACAACTTTAATTCTGTTAACATGACAGAATGTATCTACTTTTCCTTTTGTTTCTGATTCTGTATACAAAGGAACCAAATTTATTCATAATATAATGTGGCCCAGTTTATTGGTTACATAAATTGTCTTCTGATACAGAATATAATCACCTGATTTTCAATTTCTCAATCATTCTGTCTTTGGCTTTTATCAAAATAAACTTTTGCTTTCTGTTTGGATTTTCCCAATTTTATAGCTTCCTGCAAGAGAACCTAATTCAAATGTTTCTGAAATGTAATGGTTTTCAATTTGATTTCCTCTAGCTGTGTGCTACTGGTATGCCATAAAAGATGCTCTGGCATTCACATTATTCACCCAATCATCACCTCAAAGAGTGTACGATGTGTGGAGACAATGGGAGTTGTCCCAAGTGTCATTAAAATGAGTGGAATTAGAGTATTCCACTTGCATCCATTGGCATCTGCCAGTTTCCGCAGCATTAAGTTGCAATTTGTTTTCTCTAGTATTCCTGATGATTGAGGACTATATGAAATCATAGAATCATAGAATATCAGGGCTGGAAGGGACCTTAGGAGGTCATCTAGTCCAAGTCCCTTCTCAAAGCAGGACCAGTCCCCAACTAAATCAATCTGGTTGCACTTCCAACAACTGTAAACATTTTTGGAACACATGCCCAGTAAAATGTGTTCCTCTAGCTGAACCTACCCTAGCGGGGAGTTTCCAATGAGAGAAGACTTGTTTCACCAAGTGTTTTGTTGGGGCTAAAGCAGCATTTACCTTAAGGAGAAATGCTTCCACCCATTTCGAGAATGGATCAAGAATAAGACAATATTAGTTTCTTCTGATCATAGTGGTTGGGTTCATTTATGAAAGAGCAATATGCTTCTCAGATTTTTATTTTGGGAGATATTAATGTGAAAAATTGGGTTAAGGGTTTTCGTTAATCAACATCTGGGCACCCATGGGGGTTCCCAGAATACAATAGGGCACCCAGCAACGGAGATAGGGTCCATACTGGGGTCATATACAGGGGCCTCCTGGGGGCCGCAAGCAGGTTTCGTGGGGTCCATCAAACACAGCCAGTGTTAGGGTCACTGGGGACCAGGGCAGAAATATGAAGTCCATCACATGGGGGTGGAGCCCTGGGGCACTGAGCCCTTCCACCAGGGACAGAAGTCGAAGCCTGAGCAACTTAGCTTCCTTGGGGTCCCTGTGGCATGGTTGCTTGCTATCCCCTAATGCTGGTCCTGGCTTTTATGTGTAGAAAACTAGTTGTTGTGGCACAGGTGGGCAGTGGATTTTTTATAACATATTGCGGGGGATTCAGGGTATGCCAGCTCTGAAAGAAAAAGGTTGAGAACCTCTGCTCTAAGTGATTTGGTTTGCTGGGATCTAGAGCAATCAGCACAGATGTTTGCATTCCTGCTTGCTTCAATTTTTACAAGTGCATTCACATGCTGGTCCGTCCTGGCCCAAGAAATCCCTTTCTTTAAAAGTTTATACAGTGGACCTGCAATGGAAGCAAAGACAGGATTGACGTTTTGATGGCGTTCTGACAGTCCTACAAAAGGTTCTAAATAAGTGATTTCAGAGGGCACAGACATTTCTTAAATTGCATTTGCCCTCTGTTGGGCTGGTGTTTGACCTTCTTAAGACAAGGTAATACTTAAAAAGATAAACTTCTGGGGAGGAAAATTTTAGTCTATAATTACAATAGTTACTGCCATCATTTTACACTCATGCTTGTGTTTAGCAATAGCATTTAAATATTTAGTTACTAAAGGGTATACATTTGCCCTTTTTTGCAATGTTTTCCTTTGGGGAAAAAAACTGCACAGGGCCTGGTGGCTTTATGCTATTTGTTATTATGTTTTCCTGCATTAAAACTGCTCCTACACCATGCTCAGTTGCATCTGTGGTTACGATGAACGGTTTGGTCGAAGTCAGGGGCTCTTAGTACAGGGTCAGACGTAAGGGCTGCCTTAAGCTAGTTAAAGGCTTCCTAACACTTCTCAGTCCACTGAACTGTATTTGGCTGCTTTTCCTGGTTAGGTCGGTCAATGGGGTGGCAATTTCGCTGTAGTGTGGTACAAATCATTGGTATTACCCGGCCAAGCCAAAGAAGGATTGGACCCGCTTCTTTGATTTAGGGACAGGCCAATTTTGGATAGCATTTACTTAAGCCTGTAGGGGATTAATAGGTCCTTGACCCACCTGGATTCAAAGGTCCGTTATCCTGTTTAGGCCTTTTTAACATTTTGGGCTTTAACAGTTAATCTTGCCTCTCTTATGCGCTGGAAGAAAGCTTGGAGGTGTTCCAGGTGTTCTGCCCATGAATCTGAGAATATGGCCACATCATCAAGGTAGGCGACTGCAAATTCCCCAGGCAGAAGGCTAGCTACAGTCTCTGGAAAGTAACGGGTGCATTTTGCAGTCCAAAAGGGAGAACATTCAGTTCATACAGCCCTACATGGGTGACAAAGGCTGATCTTTCCTTGTCTGGTTCATCTAGCAGCACTCGCCAGTACCCCTTAGTTAAGTCTAAGGTCCTCCCATTGGGTTCACATCCTGCCCTCTGAGTCCATCCTTCAAGGGCCTCCCGTATGGTAATGTCACCCTGCATTGGGAACTCTGCCCATAGCCCCACCTTGCTCTCCCCAGCTGCTCATCACGTTCGCCTGCTATATAACTTGTGGCACAGCCGGCATCCACTATCCTAGCTCTGGCCCCACAGCTCCTCACTGTAGCTCAGCTCTGGCTCCCCACTGGGGCAGATGGTTTGTGCTGCCCCTTCTCCCGACTGATCCGGTCCAGCTGCAACTCCCCAGCTCTGCCTCGTCACTGCTGCTCTGCCTTCAGCCCAGCTCTGCTTTCTGGGCTTCTTCTCTGGCCCCTCTGGTTCGGGCTGAGGTTGCCAGATTTCCACTGCATTATAACCCAAAGTCACTGAAAAACTCACCTAAAAGTAGCCCAATCCATTTCTTGAAACAATATTTTTATTCACAGTTTGGTCTATACATCAAATAACAAAAGGAAGGTTTTGTTAGATATGTAGTACAGATTGGATAAAAAAAAACAGCAATAAGCCCCAACAGAAATTTGTCCACATTAGCAACAAAGAGCAGGTCTTCACTACAGGGGGGGGGGGGGTCGATTTAAGATACGTAAATTCAGCTACGCGAATAGCGTAGCTGAATTCGACGTATCAGAGCCGACTTACCCCGCTGTGAGGACGGCGGCAAAATCGACCTCTGCGGCTCCCCGTCGACAGCGCTTACTCCCACCACCACTGGTGGAGTAAGAGAATCGATTCGGGGATCGATTGTCACGTCCTGACGAGACGCGATAATTTGATCCCCAAGAGATCGATTTCTACCCGCCGATTCAGGTGGGTAGTGTAGACCTAGCCAAAGCTATCAAAGGATAAGAAAATTCAAATTCAGAACCCCAGTACTGGTACTTGTTTCCTAATTGAGGGTTGGCAGGAATTTCAAACAAACTACGGCAACTGACGGTGTTAAAATAGCCCCAAAATAGCCCAAAACATATGTAGTATAAAACCAAAAAAACATTATTATAGTATTTATTTTTAATTGCGTTCAATGATGGTAGTCAATGTCCACATTTTGTGTTGAATTAGTTTGTTACTACTAGTATTTACATGGTTTATCTCCCAGGATTCCTGAAGGATTGGACGTGAAAAAAAATTTGCTCACTGTACATATGATAAAGAAATTCAGCATTGTAGTTTCTTTCTTTTCTGCTTGGCTATCTGAAAGTATAGCTTCTGGTTATCAAACTGATCAGGAATCCTGTTCAGACAGGGACTAAGGGAAAGTCACCTTGCATCAGAAATCTGCAGTATCTTCTGGTAGTCTAGGAGTTACAGAAAGGCCGAGTGACATGCTGTGTGGGGTTGAGGGCTGATGGGTGACAATGAAAGTGGATAGGTGTTGGTCAAAGAGAGGGAACATAGCAACAGAGAGTGCAGTGCTTGGTGATGGCATGATAAGACATTAGATAAGAGAAATTTCTCAGACTGTGAACTTCCAAAGTGCTGAGATCAGCCAAACTGTGACAGAGCACCCTTGATTAATGAGGAGGCATCCTTTCACCCTCTTGTCACACAGATTGTAAGTCAGTGGCCTCCGGCCTTCACCTTCTGCAAGAATATTTGCCGACTTTATCACGAAGCTCTTGGGTTCTGACCCCATAAATGATGGGGTTGAGCACAGGAGGAACAAGATGATAGAGGACGGACAAGATGATGCGACCATGGGGAGTGATGTCTCCATTCAACCGGATTGTCAGGATGCTGAAGAGGACGGGAGTATAAAACATCAGCATCACAAAGATGTGGGCTGTGCAGGTGTTGAGGGCTTTCTGGTGGGCTCTCTTGGAGGAGATTCTGAGGACGGCCCTAATGATGAGACCATAGGACAGGGCAATGAGCATCAGATCTGACCCCATGAGTAAAAATGGCATCACAAAGCTGTATGTCCTGTTGAATGTGATATCCCCACACGATATCATTGCCAAAAGCATGTGCTCGCATTGTGTTTGGGGAATAACGTGGTTGTCACAGAATGGCAGCCTGCTCAGCGTCAGGGGTAGGGGCACCATGAAGAGTAAAGCTCTTACCAAAACTGCAAGCCCTAGCATAGCTATTCGTGCATTGGTGAGGATGGTGGCGTATCTCAAAGGATTACATATGGCAACGTAGCGATCAAAGGCCATTATCATGAGAACAGCAGACTGCACAAAACCAACTGTGTGAAGGAAGAAAATCTGGGTGAGGCAGCCAACCATAGTAATGCCTTTCAAATTGAACCAAAATATACACAGTGCCTTTGGCATGATTGTGCTAGACTTGGTGATGTCTGTGAGTGCAAGCATGCAGATCAGCAGGTACATCGGCTTGTGCAGGGTCTCCTCTTTGCCTACAACAAACAGAACCATGAAATTTCCCAATAGGCTGCTAATGTAGGAGGTAGCGAAAGGGATGGAAATCCAGACGTGGGCATCTTCCATGCCAGGGATGCCCATTAGAATAAATGTTGACGGGTCCGAGTGGGTGAGGTTCAAAGCTGACATGAAGTCATCAATACGTCAATCGGGCATAGAAATGCTCAATATACCTGTGAAGGGAGAGGAGCACAATTAGAGGGGTTACACGGGTTATACAGCAATTAGTAGGGTAAATATTTTATATTTATTAGCAATCTAGAAAAGGGGGGTTGATCAGTGAGGTGACAACATTTGAAGATGGCACCAGATTATTTAGGTCATAGTCAAGTACAGAGACGTTCCCAGAGGGAGCTAACCAAGCCACGTGAAAGTGCAGCATGTTGGCAGATGAACTTTGATGACAATAATTGCCCCATGTATTCCCATTGGAGGGAAAATCTTGAATTATTCAAACACCTTACAAGGTTCTAATTTAAATGTTTGCACTCAGGACAGGGATCTGGGTGTCATGGTACAGAGCTCTGTGAAACCATGCTCACAGTGCAAGCACGGACAGAAACTAAACAAAATATTGGGATCCAGGAGGAGTGGAATGGGGAATCATACAGAAAATACAGTGTCATGAGATCGGTCAGTCAATGTTTCACCCTCCTCTGGACTCCTCTGTGTAGTACTGGGCACCCTTCTCACATAGAATATTGCAGAAATAGAGAGTTTCAGGCAAGGGGAACAAGAATGATCAAGGGCCCGGGAAGGAGAGAGGTTGAAAAGACTGGGATTATTACCTTACAAAGGAGATGAAGAAGAGGGGATATGAGAAAAGTCTATAAAATACTGATTGGTAGAGAGTAGATCGAGAATGTGATCTTCAGTCTCATTACACGTGTTTAAGAGGACATTGGATTAAACTGAAACGTGGCAAATTCAAAACAGATAAAAATGAATGCTTTCTTCACTCAATGCCTAATTAGGCTGAGGAACTTGTTGCCACAAGAGGTAGTTGATGCCATGAGCTAAGCAAGAATCAGGAAGGGTTTGGACTTTCAGATGGACAGAGAGATATCCAGTTACAATAGTTACGGCTAAATAAATATTTTGGAAAGCCTATATGCCAATGTGATTCAGGGCACAAACCAGTCTTTAGCTTTTAGACATTTGGGTGACACCCTCCTGATGGTCAAGTCACCTTCCCCATCCATCTACTGCTTGGTTTTTTACACATTCTTCTGCAAAACCTGTGACTGTCACTGTCACAGAGAGGACACTGGACTAGATAGACCATCGGTTTGATCCACAATGCAGTTCCTATATTGGAAAGGAGACAAGTTTTCCCCATGGAAACAGATATTATCATAGAATCATAGACTATTAGGGTTGGAAGAAACCTCAGGAGGTCATCTAGTCCAATCCCCTGCTCAAAGCAGGACCAACACCGACTAAATCATCCCAGCCAAAGCTTTGTCAAGCCGGACCTTAAAAACCTCTAAGGATGGAGATTCCACCACCTCCCTACAGAACCCATCCCAGTGCTTCACCACTCTCCTAGTGACATAGCGTTTCCTAATATCCAACCTAGATCATCCAATCCATACTGTTTTAACTTGCTGGCAAGTATACTGTAGGAGACCATATCAAAAGCTTTGCTTAAGTCAAGATATATCACATCCACCGCTTTCCCTATATCCACAGAACCAACTATCTCATCATAGAAGGCAATCAGGTTGTCAGGCATGACTTGCCCTTGGTGAATCCATGTTGATTGTTCCCAATCATCTTCCTCTCCTTCAAGTGCTTCAAAATGGATTCCTTGAGTACCTGCTCCATTATTTTGCTAGGGACTGAAGTGAAGCTGACGGGTCTGTAGTTCCCCAGGTTCTGAGCTTTGACTTTGTGCTGGGCTATGGCTTTATGCTCAACCGAATGGGCACAAAATGCACAAGGTTCTTGGTATTTATGGCTACAGGCCTGCACCTCTGTTTCTTCCCTTGTTTCTTTTAGTGAGACGATTTCTTGCAGGCACCCAGCTTTGTCTGAGACATAAGTTAACGGAGGTAACTGACAAGTGCAACAAAGACTTGTGTCAGCAACTCAGCCACTTATCCTCCTCATGCCTGAAAATCGATGAAGTTTGCAGATGACACAACAATTCAGGTATTTTAAATAATGAAGAGGACAGGTCACTGATTCAGAGCAATCTCTATTGGTTGGTAAACTGGTCAGAAACAAACAATATGTGTTCCAATATAGCTATGTAGCTATCTACATCTAGGAACAAAGAATGTAGGTGATGCTAACATGATGGGGGACTCTCGTGGGAAGAACAATTGTTCTGAACAAGATTAGGGGGCTTGAAGGGATAATTAGTTAACATGAGCTCCCAGTGTGACCCTGCAGCCAAAAGAACCAATGTGATCCTTGGATGATAACCAGGGAAATCTTAAGGAGAAGTAGAGAAGTTATTTTACCTCTGTATTTGACATTGGTGTGACTTCTGCTGGAATCCTGTAATCAGTTCTGATGTCCACCATCAAAGACGAGTGTAGGTTCACTGAAGAGTGTTAAGAGAAGAGTCAGAAGTATTATTAAAAAGAAGAACAGGAGTACTTGTGGCACCTTAGAGACTAACAAATTTATTAGAGCATAAGCTTTCGTGGACTACAGCCCAC